GCATTTTATGCATATCAAAAGAAAGAAAATGAATTAGGTGATGATGAACCAAATTTCACAAATGAGCCACTTGTAAACCAAGAAAAGAGAAAGAAAATTATTGAAATTATTGATAAAAAGTTTAAGAAAGCAAGAAACAATGGCATCTTTTGGATTCGAATCTTGGTTGCATATCCAGCAAAAATTCAACAAAAAAGCTACTGGAGAAGTATTGATAATAGGCATACAGGCATGCATATTTCAGAATTAATGATTATAATTGATAATGATGAAGCAAAGCATTTTTTCAAGAAGAATTGAATATCTTGGATGCTTTAAAGAAACGTAAAGCTGAATATATCACATTTAAAGAGAAAATGGTATGATATTAATAGTTTTATCTTCTTTTCAATAAGGAATTAATATTTAATCATGTTTTTTATTTAGTACCCAAATAAAAACGCAAAGCAATAATTCATGAATTAATTCATTGGATCTTTTCAAAAGCTTTATCATTGAACTTTATGAATAAAATTTGAATAATGAAATTTTTCTTTATGAACCTTTGTTTATTGCAAATAAAGTTTTTTTTACATATTCAATTTTCAAATGTAATTAACCTTTGACATCTTTGACATCAGAAAACTATTCATTGTCACCACCAAGAAGAAAAAAAAATGTGATAAAGGGTTTCCTTAATGTAAAATTGAACTGAGTTGTAGTATGAACCCTCAAAAATTCAGTATATTGTGTTATGTGAGTCAGCCAATTGACCCATCATTCATTATCAGTTATAATTTGTTTATTATTATTATGAATATCCATAATTGATTTCAAATTTATATTTTGTATTTAAAATAATGTTTTCTACAATATGTATTTATTTTTTTGTCCCTTGAACAGCCAGCAATTTGATGAGATATATACTTTAGTAATGGTGGATCTTGGAATGTTATTGGTTAATTTAATAATCAGCAAAGCTAATATGTACTATTAAAAATGATTTTATAAAAATGATAACAATGACTGAATTTTTTTTATAGATCCAAAAAATCATAGAAGATAAACTATGTGAAGAATGCCAAAAAAGAAAGGATAAACTATTTACAAAAGAGGAAAGAATTCTTGTAGAGAGATTTGTAGATTATTGTAAAAAAAAATTATAACTACACAAATTGAGAGAGAAATTTAAAATTAAAACCAACCAATTGTATCAAAAATATATAATTTGAACCAATAAAAATGACAAAAATGATTTTTTGCCTATTGAGAACAACCTTAAATTAAATAAATAATGGTGGCAAGGGTTAAGTATTTTATATATATTTTTGAGAATGAATTTTTAATATATTGAAGTTAAATTTATTATTTATAATGAAAAAACTTTATACTTTAGTAACAATGAATGATAAATTTG